TGTTGATGTTGAAAATAGCAACACTCTGGATGTCTTGTGTGGCCCAAACTACGAGGACAACTCCAAGGTTTCCGATTGGTCAGACTTTTAGTCCAATCTCTGCCGTTGACATTGACATTCTTCACAATGTCAATGGAGATTCTCGGTCTTCCAGGTCGTAACTGTCCCAAAGGTGCTTTTTCTCAGAAGGCAACTGAACTTTCCTTCTTCTTTTTCCTCTCCTTCCTTGAAGACATTTTACTTCTCAGCCAAGAAGCTTCTTCAGTTCTGAAGAAGCTTCGTCAGAACGGAAGAAGCTTCTTGGATGGGAAGCGAAACCTCTTCAAGGAAAAAGAAAAACCCAAAGAAAGTCCAGCTGCCTTTTGAAAAAGGACATTTGTGACATTCTTCAGGAGGCTGGGTACCTCCTGAAGTATCAACCCCAAGGATGACCCACTCTTCATCCACCTTGCTCCCTCTTGAGAGCTCTCAAAAGCAATTGCAATAGCACTTATCTTTTTCAAATCAGAATAAAGCTGGAAGGGACCTTCGAGGTCTTCTAGTTAAACCCCTTGCTCAAGCAGGAGACCCTACACCAGTGATGGCTAACCTTTTTGCCATCGCGTGCCAGGAGGGGGAGCAGGGGTGGTGTCACATGTGTGCGTGCCCACACCCATAATTCTATGCGCTCCGTGCATGCATGTGCGACACTCCCCGCTCCCAGTACGCAATGGCCCAGTAGGCCCATTTTTCTCTCTCACCTGGCTCCAGAGCCTTTCTAGGAGTCTGGGGAGGGCGAAAACAGTCTGCCCCACCCCCCGGAGGCCCTCTGGAGGCCGAAAACGGCCCGTTTGCCAACTTCCTGTTCTACTGGAAGTTGGCAAATGGGCCATTTATGGCCTCCAGGGGGTGGGGAAGGCCATTTTTGCCCTCCCCAGACTCCTAGAAAGGCTCTGGAGGCTGGGGACAGCAAAAAACGGGCCTTCTCCACCACTGACCAAGGCCCTCCAGAGGCAGGAAACAGCCTGTTTTTCTACTTCTGGTGGGCCCAGAAGGCCGCGTCGGAGCTGAGCTCGCGTGCCCATTGATATGGCTACGTGTGCCACCTGTGGCACATGTGCCATAGGTTTGCCATGACGGCCCTACACCATTTCAGACAAATGGTTATCTAACCTCTTTTTAAAAACTTCCAGTGTTGGAGCATTCGCAACTTCTGGAGGCAAGCTGTTCCACTGGTTAATTGTCCTCACTGTTAGGAAGTTTCTCCTTAATTCCAGGTTGCTTCTCTCCTTGATTAGTTTCCATCCATTGTTTCTTGTCCTGCTTCTGGTGCTTTGGAAAATAGCTTGACTCCCTCTTCTTTGTGACAGCCCCTCAAATACTGGAAAACTGCTATCATGTCCCCCTTAAGTCCTTCTTTTCACTAGGCTAGACATACCCAAATCCTGCAACCGTCCTTCATATGTTTTTGCCTTCATCGTTTTAGTTGCTGGTCTTTGCACTTTTTCCAAAGTCTCAACATCTTTTTTTTTGTAATGTGGTGACCAAAACTGGATGCAGTATTCCAGATGTGGCCTTACTAAGGCTTTATAAAGCTTTATAAGAAAGTTGGACCCTAAGGAAGGCTGAGCGCTAAAGAATGAAGGCCTTTGAATGATGGTGCTGGAGAAGACTCCTGTGAGTCCCTTGGACTGCAAGGCGATCTAACCGGTCAGTCCTAGAGGAGATCAACCCTGACTGCTCTTTAGAAGGCCAGATCCTGAAGAGGAAACTCAAATGCTTTGGCCACCTAATGAGAAGGAAGGAAGGACTCCCTGGAGAAGAGCCTAATGCTGGGAACGATGGAGGGCAAAAGAAGAAGGGGACGGCAGAGAACGAGGTGGCCGGATGGAGTCACTGAAGCAGTCGGCGTGAGCTTCAATGGACTCCAGAGGATGGTAGAGGACAGGAAGGCCTGGAGGAACATGGTCCATGGGGTTGCGATGGGTCGGACACGACTTCACAACTAACAACAGCAAAGCTTTATAAAGCGGTACTAATACTTCACATGATTTTGATCCTACGCCTGTGGTTATACAACCAATATACCACTTTACATCCCCCTCTGGGCAGGTGACAGAGTCCAGCCTATTGTCCACCCCCCGAGTCCTCATTTTACCAACCTCGGAAGGACGGAAGGACGAGTCAACCTTGAACCGGTCAGGATGGTTCAAGATGATTCTGAAGATACAGGAAGCAAGTCTATCCTAATAGCATATGTTGGATTATACCGGGGTCGGCAACCTTAAACACTCAAAGAGCCACAAAGGTCCTAACGGGAAGCCCCCCGTTCAATTCTGGAGCCGACCGGAAGTCTGGTTCCCCCACCATAGATTCTCCTCCTAGAGCGGCGTCCTTTTTCCTCTACCCATCCTAACCAAAAGCCCTATCAATTGTGGAGCCGACCGGCAACACGGAGCTGCAGCAGAGGGATGAAAGAGCCACATGCAGCTCCAGAGCCACGAGTTGCTGACCCCTGGATTAGACAGTCCAGTTGCAGGTCGTCCCGTTCCCCCCTCCCAGGTAACATTCACAGCGTTGTGCCCCGAAGGTTCTCCACTGAGGAGGAAAGGAGGAAAAAGAACTCCATGCAAACGGAGATGCAACCCAAACAGAATGGAAATTCCCCCTGTGACCTGCTGCCTTTTCACACACTAAAAGTCTTGCCTATCTCTCTCCAACCTTGGCGCCCTTCGCTTATGTTGGGCAGTGGCAGCTCCCTTGGGAAGGGTGGATTCCGTGCCGGGGAATGCAAAGATTCCCTTTTTCAGATGCAAATGAAGAAAGAAAGAAAGAAAGAAAGAAAGAAAGAAAGAAAGAAAGAAAGAAAGAAAGAAAGAAAGAAAGAAAGAAAGAAAGTTAGTTCCTGATCTGGGGGAAAACCTTGCCTTGGGAATACCTGAAAAAAATCCCCTTGCAAGGGTGGGCTAAGCCGGCCCCGAATGCAGAAATCTAGCAGATCAAAGAAGCTCTTGCTGCTTCAATCTCCAGCAAGATTCTTTTGCCTCCTCTCCCCAGGTTTTTTTTACACACACACACACCACACACACACACACACACACACACACACACACACACACAGCTACACAAATGTGCCCTTCAGGAGCAGAGGAGCTGCTTCGCCGTTCCCATTATCCACAGTCGGCTGTGGAAGATGGGGCGGCAACCGAGGCCGCCAGAGCCTGGAAAAATCCTGCTGCTCCCTCCTCACTTCCCTTAAGGACAACCGGATGGCCTTAACACCTTGTTCATCCATCCTGGTACCCCCAAAAGCGCATCCAGCACTTGAAACTTTGTTCAACCAGTCTGGATACCCCCAAAATCCCCGTCTATCCTGGGTAACCCCAAAAGCCATTTCGAGCCCTGCGTTCATCCATCTAGCTACCCCCAAAAGCCAAATTCATCCTGGGTACCCCCAAAAGCCATCTCCAGCCCTGTGTTCATCCACCCTCATACCCCCAAAGTCGTGTCCATCCTGGGTACCCCCAAAAGCTCATCCAGCACTTGACACCTTGTTCATCCACCCTGGGTACCCCTAAAATCCCCATCTATCCTGGGTAACCCAAAAGCCATCTCCAGCCCTGCGTTCATCCACCCGGGTACCCCCAAAAGCCACATCCATTCTGGGTACCCCCAAAAGCTGCATCCAGCACTTGACATCTTGTTCATCCACCCTGGGTACCCCCAAAATCCCCATCCACCCTGGTATCCCCAAAAGCTGCATTCATCCTTGGTACCCACAAAAGCTGTCTACAGCACTGCCTTCATCCACTCTGGGTACCCTCAAAAGCTGCATCCATCTTGGGTACCCCCAAAGGCCATCTCCAGCCCTGCGTTCATCCACCCTGGTATCCCAAAAGCTACATCCATCCTGGGTACCCACAAAAGCTGTCTCCAGCACTGCATTCATCCATTCCAGGTACCCACAAAAAAACCACATCCAGCCCTGCTTTTATCCATCTTGGGTACCCCCCAAAACCGCATCCATCCTAGTACCCCAAAAAACCACATCCACCCTGCCTTCATCCACCCTGGGTACCCTCAAAAGCCGTGTCCATCTTGGTACCCCCAAAAGCCCTCCAGCTCTGCGTTCATCCACCCTGCCCCCCAAAAGGCACATCCATCCTGGTACCCCAAAACCCATCCACCCTGCCTTCATCCACCCTGGGTACCCTCAAAAGCCGTGTCCATCTTGGGTACCCCCAAAAGCCGTCTCCAGCTCTGCGTTCATTCACCCTGCCCCCCAAAAGGCACATCCATCCTGGTACCCCAAAAACCACCACACCACTTCCACCCTTCATCCCTCACCAAAGGGTACCTCCCAAACCCCCCAAACTGCCATCTGTCCCCCCAAAAGCCACCCCCAAACCTTCCTGCCCCCCAAAGGTACATCCCCCCCCGCCCACTCCACCCAAAAGCCGTTCTCCACCACCCCTCAAAAGCCGTTCCACCTCTTCATGGCCCCCCCCCAGCCCTCATTCATCACCCCTCCCCCCCCCTCCCATCCATCTCCACCCACCAGTACCCCAAACCACCCTGCACCCTCCACCCCTGCCGTTCCATTCCCTGCCCCCACCCAACCACAGCACCCCGCCCCCCCCCCCGCCCACTTCATCCACCCTGGGTACCCCCCCACTCCAGCCCCACCACAAGTACCCTCACCCTCCATCCTGGTACCCCCAAAACCCCCCCAAAAGGCACATCCATCCTGGGTACCCCAAAAACCACATCCAGCCCTGCCTTCATCCACTCTGGGTACCCTCAAAAGCCGTGTCCATCTTGGGTAGCCCCCCAAAGCTGCATCCATGCTAGGTACCCCAAAAGCCATCTCCAGCCCTGCCTTCATCCACCCGGGTACCCCCAAAAGCCGCATCCATCCTGGGTACCCCCAAAAACCACGTCCAGCCCTGCCTTCATCCACCCTGGGTGCCCCCCTTCCCCAAAAACCAGCCGCGTCCGGCTTCGCTTTCGCCTCCGCTCACCTGTTCCGCTGTGGGCCGGCGCATCTTCCTCCTCCTCTCCCTCTTCTGCCGGCGAGGGAGGCCCATGGGTCGGGGGGCCGGCGGGGGGGTCCTCCTGCGGGGCAGGCGAGGCGGAGGCCGGAGGGGGCGAGGCAGGGCCCGGGGACGGCCAGGTGAGAGTCGGAGCCGGAGCCGGGCCGGGCGCGCTGTCAGTGCTCGGCGTCGGAGAGGCGGCCGGTGACTCCCGAGTGGCGTTTGGCGTCCAGGTTGCCAGCTCGTTCTCGCCGCTGCCTTCGGGCCGCCGGGGCCAAGGAGGCGCCGGGGAAACCCATCGGGAGCCGGCGGGCTGCAGGGCGCAAGCCGAGCCCAGCCACAGCACCAGCACCAGCACCATGGCCAGCATCATAGCGCGGCCGCCGCCCGGCCATTCAGCCCCGGGGGTTGGGGACCCCCGAATCCTGGCCCGAGACGGGGTTGGGGAGGGGGGCTTCCGCCGCTGCTACCGAGGCAGCTGCCAGGAGGGTCTCAGGCGCGGGCAGGAGCGAGCAGGCAGCCGGCTGGCGGGCAAGAGGCGAGCCGGGACCACCATGGCATCTTCTCCACCTCCTTTCTCCCCTTCCCCCCTTTTTTTCCCCCTCCTCCTTTCACTTCCCTCGCCTCTGCCTGCCTAGCCCCCCCTCCCCAATTTGCTAACAATGAGGGCCTCCACCCACCCACCCACCCCGCACCTCCCAGCCAGCGCCGGGGAAAGCGAGAGAAAGAAGAAGGCGGAAAAAAAAAAAGAAAGAAAGAAAGAAGGAGTTGCGAGAGGAGGAGAAGAAGGGAGGAGGGCGACGGGCTGGAGAGCTGGCCAATGGGGAAGCGGCTGGGACACGTGAGCGGGCTCCTGGGGGGAGCCCGCTCGGCCAATGGGCGAAGGGCTGCCGGGCTTTGAAGACCCGCCTCTCCCCGGATCCCCGACAGCTGGAAGGAAAAAGGGGGTTCGCGTCTCCCCAGCGACCACGAAGATGCTCGGCTCGGTGGTGGTGGCGGCGGAGGCCGCAGCAGCAGCAGCAGCAACAAACAAAGGAGGATCCTCGGGCCCAAGGCTCTTCTCTCTCTCTCCTCCCCCTCTTCCCCGCCCCGCTCCTGCCCCAGCATCGCTTCGGTTGCAATCCGGATTGAGAGAAGCGGCAACCTGCGCCTCTGGCCGGCAGTTGGCTTTTCCTTCCAGCAGCAGGAGATCCTGAGAAAAGCTCTCTTTCCCCCCCCCTCCTTCTTGGGGGGGGGGAACGGGACACTCTGCCCATGCTCAGAGGAAGCCGTGGAGTCTCCTCACCTGGCAGGAGCCAAGGGTCTCTCTTTCTCTCTCTCTCCCTCCCTTCCTCCGTCCCTCTCTCCTTCTCCCTCTTCTTCTCTCCGCCCTGCCTCTCCCTCCCTCCCCCTCCCTCCCTCCCCCTCTGCCTCCCTCTCTCTCCCTCCCTCTCTCCTTCTCCCTCTCCCTCCCTCTCTCCCCCCTCTGCCTCTGCCTCTCTCCCCCTCCCAACCTCTCTCCCTTTCCTTCTCTCCCCCTGCCTCTCCCTCCCTCCCTCTCTCTCTCCCTCCCTCTCTCCCCCTCTTGTCTCTCCCTCCCTCTCTCTTCCCCTCTCCCTTCCTTCCTCTCTCTCTTTCTCCCCTCTCCCTCCCTCTCTCCTTCTCCTTCCCTCTCTCACCCCTCTGCCTCTCCCTCTCTCACCCTCTCTCCCTCCCTCCCCCCTCTCCCTTCTCTCCCCGTCTCTCCCTCCCTCCCTCTCTCTCTCTCCCTCTCTCCCCCTCTTGTCTCTCCCTCCCTCTCTTCCCCTCTCCCTCCCTCCCTCCCTCTCTTTCTCCCCCTCTCTCTCCCTCTCTCACTCCCTTCCACCCTCTCTCCTTCTCTCCCCCCCTCTCTCTCTGTGCAGAGTAGATTCCCCAAAGGTGTTTGTGGTGGGCACCAAGAAAGTTTGGCCAGAGATGGCTAGCTCAACACGCCGGACCACCCGTGGGTTTCCATCGCACTTCAGCCTCTTGTGTTGGGAAGATCGGTGGGCCTCAGGAGAAACTTAGAATATTAGCTCCTCCACACCTTTGATGGGATGTCCAGGAGATGCCAAGGAGACAACTGGACCTCATGGGGGACTCTTAGCACCCAACACACACGAGACCAAAGATGGGGAGGTGGGTTTCTTCCGAGAACGTCCTAATGAATGAAAGCTGCTTAGAAATTCCCGGACGGAAATAGACAACTCAAAAAAAAAACGGCAGATGGAAATAATTTGTCCTCTTCTGCTCCTTGCTTAACCTCTGTGAAATATTAGCAGCTCCAACCAACTCTGTTTTTTTGGTTTTGTTTTTTAGACTAATTTTACCCCGCTTTTATTCTCAAAATAACTTGCGGTAAAGAGAGATGCCTTAATTTCCCTTCCAAAGGGAGAGAGAGCCTCGGTGGCACGGAGATGCCCCAATTTCGCCTCTCGGTTCCCATTCCTTTCATCGCAAGGCAGTGATGCACCTGTCGGTCATCAGAGCTCAAGGAGAGACGCCCACAGCTTTCTTCTCCTGCCAAGCAAACCACCTTGGCTGCTATTCTCAGGTGTGCCCAACTGTCTATTGAGAGAGAGACCTGGCTTTGATGCCTGGCTGGGTGGGGCCAAGCACGGTGAACTCGCCTTCTCTGCCAACTTTTGAAGGCCAAAGGTAACAACGCAGTTGCTTCCGGCAGATAATGGGAGAGCCGGCTTGGAGAATCTGGCTGGCAGGGCGAGAAGGAAATGCCCATGATGGGTAAACAAATGTGCAAGGCCAGCTCCTCTCCACCCGTACGAGGGAACACCCAGCCTCTGGCAGAAGCCAGTTTTGATAATGTTGGGTTAAACAGCAGGGAGGAACAATCAAGCTGGGTGTGACGTAAAGGCAGCCTGTTTTAAATCAACTTGTCTCCTCTAATCCAGGAGTCCCCCACCCTCGGGCCGCAGACTATTCGGAACTGGGCCACAGGAGCAATGGTGGGATTCAGCCGGTTCGCACGGATTGAGGCGAACTGGTAGCAGCCACTGCCTTGGCGCTATGCTGTCCTATTTAACTGTGTTTTTGAGGCCAGGTGTATGCGTGGAAGGCGTGTGTGCGAAGTGAGCATGCACGCGATGAACCGGTGGTAAACCCCACCACAGCACATGAGGGATGCTGCAATGGTCATTAAGTGTGAAAACCGGTCATAAGTCCCCTTTTTTCCAGTGTTGTTGTAATTTTGGGCACTAAATAAATGACTGTATGTCGAGGACTACCTGTCATTGGCCCCCACGTTTTAGAAAGGAAGGAAGGAAGGAAGGAAGGGAGGGAGGGGAAGAAAAAGAAAAAGAAAGAAAGAAAAAGAAAGGAAGGAAGGAAGGAGAGAGAAAGAAAAAGAAAGAAAGAAGGAAGGAAGGAATTTCTCAAGGCAGGAGAGAAATAACATCCTGGCTGGCTACTTCAATTACGATCCTAATTCCAACCCAGCTCAGGGGGACGGGACTCAAAAGAGAGACACCCCACCCCACCTCCCATTTACAATTTGCCGGGGCCTCTTAATGGTCGGTTTTAGAAAGCGAAGGCAAAGTTGAGCCTCAAATTACAAAGACTTGGAGATGGGGATTGCGTCTTGCCTGCCTTCCCCTCTTCCTTCCGATCAACGCGGTGGTTGACCACATTACACAATGTTCCACATTCAGATCCTCGGCTCCCTAGAAGGATTTTAGCGTCCTTTCTACACGATAGAAAGTTATCCCATCCACGCAGGAGTGGGATTCTACTGGTTCAGACCGGTTCGCACGAATCGGTAGCTCCAACAATCAGCTGGGAACGAACCGGTTCGCTCTGACGAACAGTTGGGCCCGCCCACCCGCCTCTGCGTTTTACTTACCTTTATCTTCGCAGCTGATTAGCACGGCAGAGCGGATTGTCGTGCCTCAGCTGTTTTAATTCCCTAGCACCATGATGGCCCTCCCTGCAGGCATGCCAGCTATCGCCCGAGCCCGGTTCCACCATGCATGCGTGTGCACTTCCCGCCTGCCAGCTAGTCTTCAGGCCTCTGCCGCACATGCGGGGGACGCACACATGCGCAGGAGGGGCGGGGCGCATGCACAGGGGGGTGCAGGTTGATGCAGGCGGCTTACCAGGCCCAAAACGGGATGCAGCCCCCCCCCCCCGTGCCCCATTTTGGACCTGGAAAGCCTGCCTACACCAACCTGGAATCCAAAACAGGGGGCGGGTGCATGCACGGAGGGAGTGCTCGTATTGCATTTTGGGGGTTTGGGCACTCGGCACCAAAAAGGTTAACCATCACTGCCCTAGCACTAACGCGGAAGGAGATTTTTCATTGAGCTGCGCACACGCAATCACCGAACCGGTTGTTAAACCAGAAGGATCCCACCACCGTGTCGACAGAGCTTCTCGATCATCCCAAGTCAGGATTGTCCCAAAGGGGCTTTTTTTTCCCCTCCCCCAAAAAGACAACTGGGCTTTCTTATTTCGTTTTTTCTTTTTTCCTTTGAAAAGGTTTCGCTTCTCCTCCGAGAAGCTTTTTCGGTTCTGCTTCAGTTCTTCTTCAGAACTGAAGAAGCTTCTCGGAGGAGAAGCGAAACCTTTTCAGAGAAAAAAAAAGTCCTTTTTTGGGGGGGAAAAGTACCTTTGGAAGAAGAGGAAGAAGAAGATCAGGGTTCTGCTGGGGGTTCACAGGGTTCGGGAGAACCTCTAGTTAAGATTCTATGCAGTTCAGAGAACCCCCAAATCCCACTCCTGGCTGGCCCCTCCCACCCCTCCCCTCCCAGGAGTCCCCACGCGGCCCGTTTTGGATGCAGGTAAGTGCAGGGCACATGCAGAGGCTCGGGGAGGGTGAAAAACAGGCCTAACAGAAGTTCGGGAATGGGCCCATTTCCAGCCTCTAGAGGGCCTCTGGAGCCTGGGGAGGCCATTTTCACCCTCCCAGAGGCTCAAGAAAAGCCTCCGGAGCCCGGGGAGGGCAAAAACGCCTCCACTCCCGCCGTGGTGCAGGAAGCCGACTAGACCACACCCACCATGGCCACGCCCACGCAACAACCAGGCAGAGAACCCCTGAAGAAGATGCAAACGACACCTGTCTCCCACGTCAGAGAAAATAACCCTATGCAAAGAAATATCTTAAGGCTTATCATTATTATTATTTTTAATGTCTTTTTAAAAAAATTTATTTATTAGGCATTACCAGATTGCTTCCTTGCAAATTTGCAGAACTGCCTGGCCTAAATTTAGAATATTGCAGGGATCAGCTGCCCTCCTTTATAAAGAAGAGAAACTCAATTTGGAGATAGGAGGCAGGGAGGGAAGCAAGTTTTTGCATCGCCCGTCGTCGACAAAAACCTAACTATCGCTTTAGGAGGCCCAGCATAAACGTTTCTCTTTTCCTAGTTGTGCCAGAGAGCTATAATTAAGGTTTGCATGCAAACTAAACAGTACTCGAACAGCGGGGAATTTCAGAAGTACGTTTTTGCCTTGGATAATTCAATTTTTTTTCTCTCTCTTTCTCTCTCTCTCTCTTTCTTCTCTCTCTCCTCCGTTCCAGCTCAAGCTTCAAATTTCTGGTCATGCATGGCACAGATTGGCCAGTGGCAAATCCTTCAAAACTGGGAATTT